CCTCCTCAACAACGGCGGCAATGTGTTCTATGCCTGACCGCCGACTTTTTTGAATAATCAGCTTGCATTTTGGATCGACATTCAACTGGTGCTGAGAAACTGACGGATCGATACCTGGCATCTCATACGGAGTCCAGGCAAAGACATCCAGGTTATTGAGCAGGAAAGAGACCAGCTATTATCTGTCGGCCTGATTCAGGGAGGAGTCGATCATGAAGAACTTGTCCGGGCATCCATCGATTTCAACTCAGTCTAAACCTTCCGTGGCCTTTTCATTTGGGAGCCGCCCAACATCGTCGAGGCTCTCTTGATCCGGGACCTCAATGGAATTCACCTGCAGTTCCTTTGGCGTTTTGGCAGCAAGGAGATAACATGCTTGTGCCGATTTCTAGGAGCTGTGGATTTGCACAATACCGCGCTCCGTCGAGAAGCGTAGTAGCTGATGGTAGGTGCTTGGCACGACTTGCATTGTATACAACCAGGATCGTCCCATGATGAGATTATACGGCGATGGCAGCTTGACGACCAAGAATTCTACGTCCACTGTTCGGGAGCCTACTCGAACGGGTAGCCTGATTTTCCCTAACGGATACTCTGGATTGGCATTGAAGTCGAATAGTGGATAAGGGGCTGGAGAGAGATCGGATTCGGAGAAGCCGAGTTTGGTAAAAGTCTTATAGTACATAATCTCTGAAGTGTTCCCCAGATCAATGAGTACACGCTCAACTGTGAACCGGTTTACCTGTAACTCGATTATCAAGGGATCAATGTGGGACAGTGTTACTCCGGCCAAATCTGAATCATCAAAAGTAATGCCCTTGGCTTCGTGGGGCCGTTTAGCCGGGGTGAGTTGGTTCTGAGGCTCAAACTCTGACTGGATCGTGTGCACTGCTGATGACATCGGCAGGCTGTATATCATGTGGATTATGCCGGGCGGAGGTGAATACTGTCTCAAGGCTATTGCTTTGTTTGGGACCGTCGGTGCTTTGAATTTCTTGGGTAGCACTGCCTTTGCAATCCGTCGTACAAAAAGGATTATGTTGATCTTCATCTGAGTTGTTTCTTCTTCGCTTAAGCCTTATACGGGGCCTCTCTTCAGAAAAGCTGGAAGTTTCAGCTCGTCCCTTCTTCTTGAGCTCCGGGGGTAATAAGTTGGAGTTGCTATCAGTGTCTTGTTGTCGGGCTCGAGATCGTCGACCATCTATCCTCACGGGTTGCTCCGGGCCTTGGTGTGAGGCTTGTTTGGACTTCGCTACCTCCGGGGCCAAATCCTGGCGGAGACGCTCGTTCTCTGCGCTCATGTTCTCCAACCTTTGTTCGTTTGCTTTGCCTGTTCCATGGTCGCTTGCATTGCTTCATGCTTTGGAGTCGAAGGTGAGGCAAAGTTCAGGGCGCGTCTTACGGGGATGGTTTTCGGTCCAAGCATGGTTGTTGGAGTGAGGTCGTCTCTCTGCATGGTTTCATGAATGACTATTGGAGGGTCCTCCGTTACGCCCGCCATGGATGTGTTTGAGTATTCCCACAGACGGCGCCAATTGTGGAGAAGTGGTTTTTGGAAATACTCTTCTGATCCTGGGGAGCGCTCGTGATCCTTCGATAGTCACCTGAAAGAAAATAAACACTCCGGTCGGGCGTGCTGAAATTAGCACTCCGACGGACAAGTCAGTCCCAAGCTCTAGGTTACTTGTATTCTAAGTTGAATACCACAATTATCACACATACCTTTCCAAGATTGCAGGTCTCCTATTTATAGTATTCTCCTTGGGTCTGGGAGCCTGGCCCACTCTTAGCCCCTATAATGCATTCCTACACGGCACTTATTAGTAGGAACGCCGGTTCTTATACTCGGCCCCTCAACTGGATAGGGTAAATGCCGAATAGAAGTCACGTTCGGGGCCAACTTGTTTTGCTCTCGTTGATCCAGAAGTTATTCGGCTCCCACAAAGTGTAATCACAACTCAAACACATCAATCTTTCTTAGAGTTCAAAATCACAGTCTCATCTTTGGAGCCTGGCCCACTCTTAGCCCCTATAATGCATTCCTACACGGCACTTATTAGTAGGAACGCCGGTTCTTATACTCGGCCCCTCAACTGGATAGGGTAAATGCCGAATAGAAGTCACGTTCGGGGCCAACTTGTCTTACTCTCGTTGATCCAGAAGTTATTCGGCTCCCACAAAGTGTAATCACAACTCAAACACATCAATCTTTCTTACAGTTCAAAATCACAGTCTCATCTTTTCATAGATTCATGAATTTCATATACAAGCTCCATATACATACAAACATGGTGAATCTTTCAACAAATCTTGGGTGTATGAACCATCTACAGTCTATTTCGTGGACTAATCACAAAAATGAACTCAAAGAAAACAAAAATGAGGAGATTAGGGCTCAATTTCTTACATTTAGTTCTAACTATTACATATCTCAAACCCTAACTCATAATTCTCAATTTTTTCTTTATTTTAAGCAAAATATGAGATACATACAAAGATTCCAAGTAGTTTATCATACCATAGTTCAAATCTAGGGTTTGCACCTTGAATCTCTTCCAAATCCCTAGCCTTTCCTCTTCCTCTTCCTCTCTCTCTAACTCACTCTCTAGAGCTCTCAACAAAAAAGATGAGCACAAGAGCTAAAGATATATAAATTAGGCTAATTAAAACATTACAAATCGTAATTTTAAAAAATTTCACTGTAGACTCTAAAAATCATGTTGATCACAAATATAAAGTCGTTTTTGTTTTATCGTGCCTCTAAGGCTTTCAATTTTCAGTTCAAGGTTCTAATTGCAACAAATTTTCCTACATTCAACAGATATAAATCCACAATCACATAATTCACATACTTAAAATTGTAAATTCATATCAAACACATAAACACATATATAATTAAGCATAATACGGGTTGGGTTATCATAGTTAAGCCTTTTGAGCCCTTTAATGACCCTGATTTGGAAGTGATCTACTTTTATACTGTAGTTGGTCACTAGAAAGTCAAGGAACTTGCCTGACCCCACGCCAAATGCACACTTGAAAGCGTTTAGTCGCAGCTTGTGGGTCTTCAAGAATTGAAACATCTCAGCTAGGTCGTTGAGATGGTCTACTTCATTCTTACTTTTGACCACCATGTCGTCAATGTAAGCCTCCATTGTTCTTCCTAACAATGGTTCGAACATTTTGGTGATCATTCGTTGAAATGTTGCCCCTGTATTTTTTAGGCCAAAAGGCATAACCTTGTAGCAATATAACCTCCTTGGAGTTGTGAATGATGTGAACTCCTGGTCCGGTTCATACATAGCAATCTAATTGTATCCACGATACGCATTAAGAAAGCTAAGTTGATTGTGGCCTACAGTTAGGTCCACAAATTAGTCTATCCTTAGTAGAGTAAAGCTATCTTTTGGGCACGCTTTGTTGGTTGTCTTGTAGTCCACACAAACGTGCCATTTGTCATTTTTCTTGCACACTACCACTGTGTTGGAAATCCACTTAGAATACTGAACTTCTCTAATTGCCCTTGCTTCTAGTAGGTTTCCCATTTCTTTAGCCACTAGCTCGGCGTAGTGTAGTGCTAACTTGTGAGTTCGCTGTATAATTGGTCTAGCGGTAGGGTTAACGTTAAGTTGATGGCAGATGAAGTTTGGGTTAATGCCAGATATATTATACGACGTCCAGGCAAACACTTTGATATTAGAGATCAAAAATTCCATGATCTCTTTTTTCTCTATGCTGGACAAAGATGAGCCTAGCAAGAAGAATTTCTCTGGGTTGTTCTTGCTGATTCTTATTTCCACTGCGTTCTGTTCGGCTGTTTTGCTGACGTATGCGAATATCTCATTGCTCTCTAGTTCTTCTACCATCTGCACGAATCCTTTTGTAGCTCGGCTGGCGTATAGGGTCACGAAGCATTGCTTGGACATAATTTGTTCTCCCAAGACCTCTTCAATTACTCCAGCTTCGTTAGGGAACCGCATCACTTGATAGTAAGTTGATGCTACAGTTCGCATGGCGTGCAACTATGATCTTCCCAAAATAATGTTGTAAATGAAGAGAACTTTCAACATCCAGAACTCCACTTGTTTTGTCATCGATCTAGCTTTGACCGACAAAATTATCTTGCCAACTGGCCACTCTGGCATCTAGTTAAAGCTGACCAATGGGGAAGTCACTGGTGCCAAGTCTTTGTCCCCTAATTTTAATTATTTGAAAGTCTCATAGTATATTATCTAGCACAAGCTTTCCTGGTCTATCAAGATCTGCTTGGTATCAAAGTTTTTGACGTGCAAAGTAATAACTAGTGCGTCATTGTGAGGGTTTTGCAACCTTGCTAAGTCCCTGTCAGAGAAAATGATGACGTTCTTTGCTTCTGTCTTCCCTTTCTTTATGGTCGGTTGAACACTCAGCACTTTCCTCATATGTTCTGATTTTTTGATCATCCCTCTGAACTCAGAAACTCACTAAGGTTTTATGATCCCATGAATCACATTGATCATGCCTTGAGGCGGACCATCTGCCGGCATCCCATCTGCCGCATTGCGATCTTGAGGGGGCAAGTTGAGCTCCCCCTCTAATGTATTGATCTAACTGGCTTGCTGCCACCAATTCTTCTAGATGTTGCCTCAAGGGCGTACAATCTTCAGTTCGGTGCCCTATTTCATCGTGGAAGGTGCACTTATACCTCTCGTTGCAGCCCCTCTGTGGTTGTCCTAACTTGGTAGGCCACTGAACGAAGGGTTCATCACGTATTTCACGAAGAATTCAAGAGATGGGCTTCTTAAAAACTGTCGTTATGGCGGTGCGGACCCTCAACCTCCCTGTTTTGGCGTTTTCATCATTGGGTGGTGCACCGCGATTGTTGTTATTAGGCTAGCCCTTCTTTCGACCATATTAACCCTTGCAGAAGGTTTTTTTGTTTGACATCGCTGTTATGCCAAACTTTTCCTTGCTGCGAGCGGCATCCTTCTCTAACCTGATGTGTTGGTGTACTCTCTCTATCAAGGCTTCATGGTGTGGGATGGTGTCATTGTCATGGAGTCCCTAAGTCTATGCCCAATTGGTAAGTCGCGCTTGTATTGCGCGATAGCAAGGTTGGTGGGACATTCTCTAATCTGGTTAAAAGTCTCCCAATATCTATTATTGTAGGACTTCAACGTTTCTTTCTCGCCTATATCAATGGCGAGAAGCTGATCTATCTTAATTGGCATTTTGGTGTCTGTCATAAACCTGGTAACCAACACCTTATCCGGTTGCGCCCAGAAGGCAATGCTGTCTTTTGGCAACTTTTCAAACCAAGTTAAGTCCATATCTCCAAGGCTAAATGGGAACATGATGCACATTAGAGCCTCGTTCCACCAGTGTATGGCCATAACTTGGCAAAAGTGGCTTAAATGCATGTAAGGATCTGACTTCTCCTTATAGATCTTGAACTTAGGCTTGTTGAAGCCTAAGGGCAGCAGTGCGTTCTCTATCGCTAGAACGAGCTTTGCAACCATGCCAATGCCTTATCAATTGGTTCATAAGCAAGGTGCGGTACTGGCATTCCAATCTCGATGCTTTTGTGCGTCCTAAGTGCCAATCGCTACAGAGCTCAGATCTTTTGAGGGTCATGGGCCTAAGCGTCTTCTCTTCTTCATGCTCGTTCCTCCAAAATTGATCGCAAATCCACTGACCTGGACAGCTCGGTGTGCCGAGAGGTGGTTTGGTGAGTATGTGAGGGTCGATAACTGTTTCCCATTGTGTAAGACCTTTCAGTCCTCATTCTCTTAGACCTGATGTAATGAGTCCTGGAGGTCCTTCAATGTGTATCACCTGTCTAGAGGCTCCTATTCTCTGAATGCATAGGCGTCGCTTACATATATCCTGACCTCCTTCATGACGAGAACGCATTCTACCTTCGTGGATTCCCACCCCTGCTATATTTTTGCCCTTCATTTGGCATTTTATAGCTTCCATGTCAGCCACCATTCTTTTAATTAATTCATCTTGCTCCGTCACGTGATCCTCCAGAACCTGGGCATCCATCCTCCTCATTTATCTATTTGGGCTTTGAGAGCGACGAGTACTCAAGCCTCACTTTTCTCGCAGCTGAGGGTCTATGTCTACCATGTGCAAAACAAAAGGAAAATCCTCGCGCCTCTTGTTCCCCTCTGGAGTTTGTCCGTGACGGCAGACTGAGGCAAGTCTTCATTATGCACCATTGAAACTAGTTGAAGGCAAAACTTAATCAAGAGGTAAGTTCTCTATATTCTTTCCCACAGACAGAGCCAATTTTACGAGCACGAAAAAATTCTTCTTGTATAATCCTGTTGATTAAGCTTGCACTTGTTGGCAGGTGTGTGCCAAAAACCCCTCCGATGCTTAAGTCAACAAATAGACAATAGACAAAAAGCTCTATGAATTCGGGAGTAGGAATTTCAATACCTGGGAATAGGTTCTGTCATGAGCTTTTATAGATTTCACGTGGCATGATCCTAGTAGGACTCTACCTCTCCCAATAGAGTCCTCATAGGAATCACATTTCTAAAGGATAATGCTTATCTTTGGAACACCCTTCTCACTGCAAGCCAAGTGAGATGACAACACCTTGTTTGGCTATTGATACTCAACCGAGCTACTTCGTTTCGCTCTGTCTCTAGTTGATCCATGCAAACAGCCAAATGATGATTTGCCGAGCTAAATCTAGCTTGGCCTTCTTCACCGAAGCCATCTTGGTTTGTTTATACATAGATAGCTAGGTCCAATTCCATTATTCGGCCTAGTATCCATTTAGCCCCGAACCGAGCTATCCAAGCTCTTATCTCGGCCCAATGTACGACCCAAATTCAAAAGACAATTTATCTAGCTGGGCCCAATTTGTCAACACAAATTATCCTCTCATGAACAATCTACTCTTAAAATATGTAGATTGTATAGATAAAAATGATCTAATAGTATGATAATCGATATTGGATCAATTTAATATTTTACATAAATAATTTTCACAGTTAATTGTGAGATGTATATTTTAAAATACCAATGAGTTCTAATTAATCCGATAATGGGTCAATTTCACTATAAAATCGAGATATTTAACTTTAACAAATTCGGACTTTTATGTTACGTTTGGTTTATAAATTTGAATAAAAATTTAAAAAGATAAAAAAAAATAATATAAAATCGAGATATTTAACTTTAACAAATTCGGACTTTTATGTTACGTTTGGTTTATAAATTTGAATAAAAATTTAAAAGATAAAAAAAAAATAAAATAAAACACATTTTCATTTGATACATGTTTTTTTTATTATATATATATATATATATATTAAATTTCTACCTAAATCAATAAACTACCCACAACCTTAAATGGGTGAGTGTAGATTTACCAATTTTCCCTGTATTTTATTCAATTGAAATAGAGTTGTACGTATGTACCTGTGTTTGACCCGACCATAGTCTATCTATATATATCTCTTCATTGGGCAAATTATAAATTATGACTTTGATTCAAAATTGTTAATCTATTTGATGCAGTTATTAGATTACAGATTTAAGTTACTGAGTAGTTGTTGGCTATAAAATTTGTATAAGCCAATCACAATTCAACATGTGGCATGAAAAGGGCAATTTAGGGAGGTAATATAAATTGCCAACCATAGTCAGACACGTGTCAACCCATACTAGTAATAATGGGTCTGTATAGCACTGGAATGATCAAGGGATATAAGGTAATGTGGCCTAACGGTTACTTACAAGGTTTAAATTCAAAATCAGGAGGGAAGCCTAATTGTAAACATGGCGTAGTGGAGCTGACTGTGAGAGAGGATGATCAGCGTTCATAAAGGGACATTTCAACGATTAGGAGCCCACTTCAACGGTTATCATTGAGAAGTATAAATAGCAGAGAAGGCTCCAGAAAGGAGGATCCTGACTCAGATAAAAAAACTAGTTTTATCTACTTTATTTTCCCTTCCAGTTTTTACAGTTCTTTACATTTTTGTATTTTAAATTCTTGTATTGCACTTCATTCATAGGAGTAGTTTCAAATAGCTTGTTGCTGTAAACCTCTACGAGGCTGGGTCAGATCATTGTAAGTTTTTCATTTTACTTAATGAAATTCTACAATTATTCTTCACTTAATTGTTATTTATTAGATTCTCCTAAACAAGCCACCAGTAAAAGTCCTCTTTATTGAGGTTGAAAAAACTAAAACACAATCGTCTGATAATTGGTTGGCAATTAATCTTCTGTAAGGACTGATTGATTCTTGCTAGCACGCTTAAAATTACAATACTAACCTTCGAAATCCAAAAAAACCAACATATATTTTTGGCACACCCAGTGGGACTAATTGAAATGGCTAGATGTAGGAGACCAGGAGAAAATGAACGCCTAGAAGAAGGTGTGGAAGGAGAGGTAGAGATACCTGATCCAGAGGATAATATGATAACACATCCTATAGAAGTACCTATCTCATCAGAACCTATGGTCGAACAAACCAGTAATGCAGAACATGCACCACATGTCCAGAATATAGGACGAGGCCATGGAATTGGACCATCCACTATTCCATCTGTTCAACCAATGAATCCATGGGGAGGCCTAGTAGATGCCATGGGACAATAGTTAATGAACACAATGGAAAGATGGGCAACATCCTTTATGGATCGGATGAATGCCCATCAACTAACTAACACAAGGCATATGGAGGAAAATTCAAATGTCCCTCAGCAAAGATTGGCTAAAGATAAACAGCTTATGCAAAGCAATGGACATACTAATGGTCAAACTAGTAATCAAAATTATGAAAGACCATCACCTTAGTCTTGGTATGAGCCTCTTTCGAGGCTTATGGTAAATCAAAATGCCTCATTACTTAACAGTGAAGCCATACCAATTGGTGGATCTAGGCCAACACAAGAAAATGCATGAAAATGTTTCCAAATCCCATGTTCGAAGCCATACCTGGCACATGGGGGTTCACTAATCCTTTGTTCGAATTCAAACCTAGGGGGTTGGAAGGGTTTCTTGCGGCTAGAAGAGAAACAACACTTGTTCCTTCTATTACAGCACCTTTCGTAGATTCTCTCACAGGACAGGCTCAGAGAGGTCAACCATACCCTCAACAGTAGCCAGTACCACAGGGACAACCAGTCCCAAATATACCTCCCTATGGACTAAGAGGACCTCAGACACAAGGTTTTCCACCAAATCCTGTGTTTATTTCTCTAGTGGTAGTCCAACAAGCACAAAATATGGCTCCTAGGGACCAAATTGCTGATATTGTTAGAGAAATGTGTGGACCTATGGCTCGAAGGGTTCAAACTCCTGTGTATAGGAAACCATACCTAGAATGGATGGATAGGGTACATGAATACCTAAGGGATTTAGAATATCAGACTTTGCTCTTTTTTATGGGAATGGAAACCAGTCAACAGTAGAACACATTGCTAGGTTCGTTGCCTAATGTGGTAAATGTACCAATAATGATTACATGAAGTTAAGACTTTTTCAAAATTCTCTAACTGGGGCAGCTTTTGAATGGTATATTAACCTTACACCTGGCTCTATCTAAACTTGGCAGCAAATAGAGGAGGCATTCCATGCCCAATTCTTTCAAACGGAGCCAGAAGTTTTTATGGCAGACTTGGCAAGGTTGAGTCAAAGGCCTGATGAGAAAGTTGTTCAATTTATTATCAGATTCAAAAGAGCACGAAACAAGTGTAGGGTCATTCTACCAGAGCCTGAATTTATGAGATTGGCTCAAAATGGTTTAGAGTTTAGGCTTCGAAAGAAGTTTGACTCAACTGAGTTTCGAGACTTAGTGGAATTAACCAATAAGGTGTCTAGATATGAATCATTACTTGAGGAAGAACAAGACCGAAGTAATGCATCGTACAAGACTTATTATAGAGATCCTAGTTACGAGATTGATGCAACAGAGATCGTAGGATAAGAAAAGAGCCTGTGATCTGTGAAGCATTAATTCATAAAGACATTACAATAGACCAGTAGTTTAAAAAGAAAGACCTTCATAAGAAATACTCTTTTGATTTAACAAAGGTAGATGACATTTTTGATCATTTGCTTGCAGTGAATTTCCTAAAGTTACCAAAAGGAGTTAAAATTCCTTCTCCAAAAGAACTTAAAGGGAAATTGTATTGTAAATGGCACAATTCTTGGTCTTACTCAATTAAAAATTGTATTGTTTTTTGGGACAGAATCCAAGAACATATTCGAAAGGGGAGTTTAAAATTTCCAACTAAAGCAGAGAAAGCTATGGGGATTGACACTAATCCATTCCCAAAAATTGGAGAAGTTACAGCCAATGTTATTGTGCCAGACTTCCAAAGCTTATCCTTGAAGGAATTGGAAGAGGTTAATGTGCAAATGCATGTTGTCAGCTAAACTAATGTCAAGAAAGATACCAGAAGTTCACCAACAAATGGGCAGGGCTTTGCAGACAAAATGGAGGACTTAGTGAAGAGGCACTGGATGATGACTCTTTAGAGAA